AATATGAGGAATTTACGCATATCGCCGATTATGCTGGCCTACGAATGTGAAGCGCTTCAAACAGGAATGCCTAACCATAAGAGAAGTGAATCATAAAAATTAGTTAGCTTTCATCTCATTTAAATGTTGGCCAACGCTCACCTTTGTGCTGTGAGTCTATCGTGGTAGAGAGACGACAATTCTCATTTTAAGTGCACGTCTAAGCTAACACGGCCCTAAAATGAACTAAGAAAAAATGTTGATATAGGGGAGTTATCAACTTCAAAGAATGGGTATTTTTTGGATACCCTGCATTTTTTGGTGGTCACAATCGGCACCCAGTCTACACCTATGCTGGTGGATGATTCACAACAGCGATGTGCGCCTTCCTCTGCTTTATTTGCAGAAGGTTTAAGTTGCAAAAAGACTTACTGGGCAAAAAAGTACACTTGTAAAATTGTAACAAGTAAAAAGTAACTTACCTTAAACGCTCTGTGCTACTAAGCCACTTTTCAAAGAAGTAGAAGAACATGCATACTTGCCAAACAATGCCTGTCTTCAATATGTGTATGCCAAAAGCAAGAACCTTTACAACATGACAATAACCAAAAAGCACCTAACTTTTCCTCTGCATCGCTTGGAGATTTAGATGCTTTGCGGCCACATCTGCAATATAGTACAATCAGAGACGATTAGTAGGACTTTGATACCGACTTTATGGATGATTTTATAAGGAAACAGAGGGTCCGTGATGAATCTCTTGACCTTCTGATGGATGCGTTATCTTAAGACTAACAGTACTACTATTTAGGAATTGCTACTAAGCTTGTCGTCGGAAAAAATGAGAGTAGCATTTGTTAAAAAACGAGCTCATATACAACAACTGGTCAAGCGCCGCTGATTCAAGCGCAATATAAAGGAAATAATGCATAAAGGCGTGTATTGTTGCAAGAAGCCAATTCTATTCTACCGTCATCGTAATTAACTAATTTCTGAAAAGACCTGAAAAAGATGATTGAATTTTCATAGATGAAATACTGGTAAAAGTAAATACATACTCAAAGATTCTAAATTTTTAACAGAGCTTTCCTGATGGTCAGAAAAGGGAAACCTCAACGCCGTAACCTGTCTAATTCTGGATACTCCATTTCTTCAAATATTCTGACAGCGATCTCATACATAAATTCGGCCAATAAGTCATTGCTTTTTTCGACTCCAAGCTGTCCATTTTAAGAAAGTTTTGGTTTAACGTCAAATATCATTTCGAAGAGAATTGTTTGTCCGACGGTATATATTGTTCGAATTGATTCGTGTTGAGTTTCCAATTATTTAATCATCAAGTCGACAAAAATGAACATTTTGACAGCTTCCTCTTTAAGCATCTAAACGACGGATTAAATCCACAGAAGCCACCGGAGAGAAATGCGAAGCGTACGGCGAAGAAGCTGTCATATACCTTTTTAAATGTCTCAAAATTTATTTATG